TTGATGTACTTGTGGTTGTAATTGTTGGTATAAGTGTAGCTGTTGTGGTTGTTGGTGTAAATGTGGTTGTAGTTGTTGGTGTGTGGTTGATGTACTTGTGGTTGTAATTGTTGGTATAAGTGTAGCTGTTGTGGTTGTTGGTGTAAATGTGGTTGTAGTTGTTGATGGTTCTGGTTGATGTAATATTTTTTTTTCTTTTTGGTTGTGTGGTTATGGTTGATGTACTTGTGGTTGTAATTGTTGGTATAAGTGTAGCTGTTGTGGTTGTTGGTGTAAATGTGGTTGTAGTTGTTGATGGTTCTGGTTGATGTAATATTTTTTTTTTTTTTTGGTTGTGTGGTTATGGTCGATATGGTGGTTGTAATTGTTGGTACAAGTGTGGCTATGGTTGGAACTGTGGTCATGGAAGTAGTAGTCGTGCAATGGTAGAAGTAGTTATGGTAGTAGTAGTATCAAAGTATAAAGGGAAAAGCGACGGCAAAAGAGCAGGACAAGATACGGCGAAGGCGATGGCGACGCAGAAGAAGAGGAAGAAGAGGAAGAAGAGGAGGAAGAAGAGGAAGAGGAGGAAGAGGAAGAAGAGGTGGAAGAGGAGGAAGAGTAGGAAGGGGAAGAAGAGAAGTAGAGGAATATGAAGATGAAGTAGAAAAAGAAGGAGAGGAGGAGGATGAAGAGGAGGAGAGGGAGAAGGGAAAGGAGAAGAATCATGAAAAAATCATGACCATGATTATTCTAATAATAATAATAAAATATAATGAAGTAACAGGACAAGGAATAATGAAATGTGAAGAAAAGGAAAAAAAAAAACATAAAACGAGAAAAACGAGGGGGCGGAAAAGAAGGAAAAGAATATAGTGAGAAAAAGAAAGAAAAAAAAACAGAAGTATCGAAAAAAAAAAACAAGACGGGTATATGAAGAGAAAAAGGAAAAGAAAGAAAAAAAATAAAAAAAAATAAGACGGGGAAAATATAAGGAGAATAAGAAAACGGAAAAGAAAGAAAAGAAAAGAGGAAGAATGAAATGAATAGAGATCAACAGTAAAACAGAAATAACAAAAAAAAAAAAAAAAAAAAACTCTTATGGAGAAGAAAAAACAAAAAATCTTATGGAAAACTCAAGACGCAAAATTTCCCTATACGGCAGCATCCGCCTCAGAAACCCACGAGACTGCCCTGCCTTAGCTGTCTTAGTGTTTTTCTACCGGTCAAGCTATTATTCAGAAGGTCACACGTGTCAGGGGGGGGGGGGGATGAGGTGAAGGAGAGAGAGAGAGAGAGAGAGAGTAGGAAAGAAATTGACTGACGAAGGGAGGGAGAGGGGAAGAGGGGGGGGAGAGGGAGTTAGAGAGAGGGTGGGAAAGAGAGGGAGGGAGGGAGGGAGAGGGAGAGAGAAAGGGAGAGAGAAAGAGAGAGAAAGAGAGAGAAAGAGAGAGAGAGAAAGAGAGAGAAAGAGAGAGAGAGAAAGAGAGAGGGAGAGATAAAAAAAAATAGAAACAGAAAAAGAGTGAGAAAAAAAAGACACAGACAATAAGTGACATGCGTGGATACATGCAGTTAGCAAACAAAATGCACATTTACGAGGTATTTCCTGTTGCACAAAACTACTTTCACTCGCGGCGACTCAATGGAAGCGAAGGGACTGCTTCTCGCGTGATATTGTGCGTTAGTCATAGCAACACGTGAAAGTAACTTATCTGAAGGAGATTCAGGTATCTGCAGCAGACGGCAAGGACGAGAAGGGGGGGGGGTCAAGAAATGAATAATTTTTTTCCTATTGTCTGTTCCTTTATTATCGACTATTTGTACATTTTACGCGATGCGTGTCTATTCGTAATCGTTACTCTAGTCTTAACTTAATCTTTATATTATTTGTTTTGGATATCTTACAAGATACGTCTCTATTTACTCTCTTTATCTAAGTTTATATCATTATTAGCACCATTCTCAGTAGGAAGAGGTACCACCATCGCTATCATCGTCTTCTTCAAAATTACTTCTATATTTAGCCTTACTATATCAATCTATCACCTATGTCATATAAACAACATCTTCATCAACATCTCCTCATTATCAACTTGTCATCACTTCCGATGACGTGTTGGTGATGACAACCACTTAATAACTGCCGGTGCAACGATATTGTTCAGACATGGTTCGTTCCGTCATTTATCTCTAACCTCCCAAATGCCTCTTCGCCTTGACAATAGGAAGATATAGTGGTAGATAGAAGAAGAAGAGGAGGAGGAGGAGGAGGAGGAGGAGGAGGAAGAGGAGGAGCAAGAAGAGGAGGAGGAGGAGGAGGAGGAGGAGGAGGAGGAGGAGAACAACAACGACGAGGAAGAGGAGGAGGATCAGAAAAAGAAGAGGAAGAAGAAGAAAAAGGAGATGAAGCAAACGAAGAAGCACAAAACGACGACGACGACAAACTACGAAGACAAAGGAGAAAAAGCCTGCGATGCGTCTTTATCTACTGACTACTGCTTCTGAAACAACTTACGTAGTACTTGTAATTTTCAAAATTGGTTTCTGTTTTCTGCTTCATCATCATCATCACTATTACCTCCCATCTACTACTATTGTCTTATTTGTTATTGTTGCTGTTACTGTTGATGTAGTTTCTACTTGCATAATTATTACATTATGATTATTTAAAAATGACGTTTCTGCCTTCATTATTACTGTCATGCCCCCGTTATCATAACTGTATACATTTCGTTACTGTTTTTAATTGATGATGTTATTATTACCGTTAATTTATTATCGTCCTTAATATTGTTATTATTGCTACTTTTATTATCATTATCATCACTACTATTGTTTTGTTGTTGTTTGTCGTTATCATTATTAGAAGTAATAGTATCATTAATATTATCTTGATTTCTGTAAATATTATTATCATTATTGTTCTATTATTATTATCTCTACTATTACACTCATCATTATCAATACTATTATTATCATCATCACTATTATCATTACCATCTTTATTATTGTTAATTATCATTAATATCATTTGCATTATATTTACCATTAGTATTGTTAATGTCATCTTTACCATTTATGTTACTTAAGGATTCTCATTACTATATTATTACTAAGGATAACAATAACACTGTTACTATCTTGTTACCATTGCAACTATGATCACTATAATCATTGTCTCTTTTGGATGAAAAAGATAACACTAGTTACCTAGTAGCTTTTAATTCTCCTCTCTGTATCACATTGGCAAGCAAGCACGCACACGCGCCCACATACCCACAAGGTCTAAATAAGTACTTGTTTAGACCTTGCCCACAGCCACAGCCACACACATATACACATACACATGCTCACACACACATAATATACATGTATATGTATATATATATATTAATACACACACACACACACACACACACACACACACACACACACACACACACACACACACACACACACACACACACACACACACACACACATGTAATGGCGCTGCGATCTTTGCTACAATCTGAGTATTGTGGCAACTTCATATTACGCTTCCCATTATGTTATTTGTCTGAAAGAAAAACGACAACAACTGAAAGTGTAGTCACTCATTCACTGACCTCCAAAATTATTCGTTTCTTCCACTAATTTCCGATGGTTATTCGGCTTAAACACTTTGATCTTCGTTCTGGTAATTTCCACAAGCACAGAACAGGATATTATTTTGCAAATTTTCCCACCGTCATTTATTTATCTATTTATTTATTCATTTTTACTACAGGAAATCAACTGAATATCCCCCACGTGACACCTTATCGCAGAACACAGCTTGTTAACAGTGAAACTATTGCCTCGGTGATAAACATTGACAGAACCAAAGGCAGCGGCTGACAGCGGGTCACCAGGTGGGAAAGAGGGGGGGGGTGGACCGGCATGCAGTAGGAAAATTTTAATACGTTGGCGGTTTCCATTGTCCGGCGGGAGAATGGATGTCCTGCAAAGTCATTGCCTGGGCTTCACTATCAAGTGAGCGGGCTTCATCATCACGTGTCACATGACGTGCCATTTCAGCTTCAGTGTCAGTCGGGAGGCGTAATGTCGTTTCCCGCCCCTTCAACACTGCCTCCACTCCGATCTACGAGTAACTATGAATTTAAGCTTCGCTGCATTTCACAGTTGAAGCATAGCGTCAGGCTTCACTACTGAAGAAATACGTCAGGCTTCACTACTGCTACGTAGCGACATATAATGGGATGTTTTATTTCTCGTAGCACACTGTGGTATATTCTACCAAACTGATGCACAGTATATTTTACATTTGTTACACATGTACTTATGAACAAGACAAGTCTGTTCCTCTGTCTACTGCTTATATATTGTGCCATTCAAAAGTTAAATATTAAGCACTGATTTTCAGTAATGTGTGCAAAAATGCTTACTTCTTTAGTACGTTTTTAGTCGGTTGTAATAGATGTTGGGGATTGACCGTTATTAAACTGTGCTTAAAATTATTAAAAAAAAGTGATAAGCATATTTACAGGATAAATTAATGAAGCAATATGTCATTTTTTAAACATCCGGTGGTTAATTGTCCTCTAGTGAGTAGTCTAGTAAAAGGAAACAAATGAATATGGCATTGCTCTTCGTTCTAACAATTTCCCTTCAAAGCACCAATTTTCACATCAAGGAAAGCTACATATCAAGCCATACACGACGCCAGCGCCTACCCGAGATACTTTCCATGAATCGTTCCAACACTTGTCTCGCGGGTGGTTTCAGAAGCTAGTCACCGTGACAGACAAAAGTAACATTAGTCATCACAAAGCTAAGGTAATTCCTTACACGTTGGATGACAAGATAATGATCATTAAATCACTATATATTCTATTATCCTCTCTCTCCAAGCAGGAGTATCAGCGTATCTTGTGACATGCAGAAAGAGTCAGATACTCACGTGTGATTAACATGTGACTGAGAATAAATATCAATTCACCATAGATGTGTTATTTTTATTCTTTCAGGACACTTAC